TTTGTTTTCAATTTTTAACAGCCTGTCCTGGGAAACGATAGGATCAGGATTTTTTTATTAGCTTTTTTTTTTTTTTTTATGGACTGAAACGTGCATGTTTATAGCACGTAATAACAAATATAGAACCAATCTAATGAAAATATACAAATACACATTTGTGAAAAAAGTTGGGCCTTTAAATGTGGCTTTATGCATAAAGATTTGAGCAAGAATTAATAGGACATAATCACTATTTGTATTCTCTAAAATACTTCCAAATAATACATGTTTACTATTTAACAAAGGCGCATGAATACATGAAAACACTGTTCAGACTAAAAAACAAACAAACAAACAAAAACAATATTTGATGTATAGCATAAAACAAAATTAATGTTTAATGTTTAAATTAGCTAATGTAGGCTATCATCTAATAGGCAATTTGTTTATAAGGGCACGATTTCTGAGTTAGTGAACTAACTCAGATTAATCTGAACTAGTGTCATATACTTCCTTCCTACTAAGATAATAACAAAAGTACATAGTCTCAAACGTTCTTTAATTTTCCGTAAACTTTCATATCTGTCTCCATCTAGTGGTCAACAAATATACATGCGTCTCAAATATATATATATATATATATATATATATATATAAACATACATTTTATAAAATTTATAGTTAAAAAATCATATGATTCTCGTATGGACATAATAATCAATTTCGTTTGTTTTTTTTCTTCTTCCGTTTGACAGGACTCGGTTACTACAGCTGGTATGGCAAGATGCAAAAAACAAAACAAAAACAACAACCTATAGATTTGAAACATCATAAGTGTGAGTAAATTATGACCGAAATGATTAATTATTGGGTAATCTAATGCTGTAAATGCGGTTGCTCCTCCCGGACACTAGAGGGCAGCAGCTCCGCGAGACTCCTTGAGCTCTGCCTCTGCGCGCATCAATACTACGTCACTGTTTGTGCTGACGCGGCGTAAGCGCTTCATTCATTCGGATCACATACGTGTCTGTCTCTCTTTTCACTCAAGCCAAGAATCGCAGAGGAGCGCAGACCGGAGACATGGCACCCAAAGGCGGCAACAAACAGCAGTCAGAGGAGGATCTTCTCCTGCAGGACTTCAGCAGGAACCTGTCGGCCAAATCTACGGCGCTGTTCTACGGCAATGCGCTAATCGTGTCCGCGATCCCCATCTGTAAGTTCCTCATCTGTTCCTGCTAATGAGACTCAGCATTCTTCCTGACGTGTAGGTTGTTCCTCAAAAGTGAGCTGCCTACTCTACTCTACTCTACTCTACTCTACTCTACTCTACTCTACTCTACTCTACTCTACTCTACTCTATTCTAGTGTAGATGTGTTACGTTAAGCTGATTCTCGCTTAAAGCGTTTATGCAACACTATTTGTGGTCTCTCTGATGACCACTGTTATTGTTTTACTTAAGTTATTCATTGTGAATAAATTGTAGTAGCAAAATTATGTTGTTCTCACCTGGTTCTTGCATATGTATTTTGTAACAGGGCTGTTTTGGAGGATCTGGCATATGGATTTGGTCCAGTCTGCAGTGCTGTATGCAGTCGTGACTCTAGTCAGCACCTACCTGGTTGCCTTTGCTTACAAGAACGTCAAATTTGTCCTCAAGCACAAGTAAGAATACCTAAATGAAACCTCACGCTTGGTTTCAATGCATTCTTTTTCTTTTCTCTCTGTTTTCCGAGACCCTTATAGCTTTTGTCAACTTTACTAGAAGACTGAGTTAATAATTTTGTACTTTTACTTTCAGAGTCGCTCAGAAACGTGAAGACGCCGTGTCCAAGGAAGTGACCCGCAAGCTCTCTGAGGCCGACAACCGCAAAATGTCGCGCAAAGAGAAGGACGAGAGGTATGTTAGTCTTAATTGTGATAAATACTGATGGGTTTGTCAGCTGTCATTGACAAAATCTTAATGTTTTTATAGTATGGTGTTCATTATTTTAAATAGCTTTTATTTTTATATTTTCCGTTTTCTTGGTTTTTATATTTCTGTATAGCTTTAGTTTATTTCTTGTTTTTCTTTTTATTTCAGTTTTAGTATATATATATATATATTAGTAATTCTGGTACTTTAACTTGAGCTTATTTCAGTTGAAGTACACATCAGTCTTGTGTAATGTTTTTATTAATTTATTTCCGTTACTGAATTGTTTGTTGTTATTTTTAATAGTTTTTGTCTTAGATAAAAATGACAACACTGCTGACAATGATGGCAAAAAATGCTTTATATGGATGCTGTTGATCTGCTGTCTTAAATATGCTACAGAACATGCTCATTCTGTCATTTCGGAAGTTCTCGGTTGCTAACAGCGAGTCTTTGTTGCAGGATCCTGTGGAAGAAGAATGAGGTCGCTGATTACGAGGCCACCACTTTTTCCATCTTTTACAACAACACTCTGTTCCTTTTGATTGTCATCATTGCCTCTTTCTTCTTGCTGAAGAACTTCAATCCAACAGTGTAAGTTTACTGTAATATTTAGTCTTTGTGTCTGTTGAAGCCTATTGATTGGTCTAGATGTCTAACGTTTACCTTATATGTCTGTCACAGGAACTACATTCTGTCCATTAGTGCCTCTTCAGGTCTGATCGCCCTGCTGTCAACAGGGTCCAAATAAAAGACTGATTGCATTAGGAGGAGAAGATTGAGGAACAAACAAATGAGAGGATTGGGGGTGGGGGCAGGCAAGGCAATTTGTTAAAGGAGGTTTGTTATCTTTTAGGAGGGCGTTTATCATTTCATCGGTTAAAGTTTCATGAAATTCATGATTGGTTAAGGCCTTTTTTTGTCTGGTCTTCTCTTGTTTTTGTTTTGTACCAATAAAAGACTGTTTACTCACGTATTTTGTCATATTTTAATAAAAGGAATGTGGCGGATAATGTGACTAAAATGTTAGATATCAGAAAAAAATAGTTCTAAGGATACAACATAGTTACTTTTGCTGTAAATAATGGCTTTTATGATACCAGTAAGACAAATAATTACAATAGAAAAAGATGCAAATGCATGAAAATTAATCAAATGTAATAAAAATAAAACATTGAGAAGTTTAGACTTTATTAATTGACTACACATTAAAGCTATGTGTGTGTGTATATATATATATATATCATTCATTGGAATGCACTTGGCAAAGTGAGCAATGAAATACAATGTCATTTCCTCATAAGCTCTTCATCTTCACTTGGAATGACCCCATGGCAATGCAGCACGGCATCCATCACTCCATTAGCTGTTCTTGAAATAGGATTTATTTTTTTATTGCCGTCAATATAATTATTGCAAATAAATACACCTTTTATAATCAAGTTTTTAAAATATTTTAAATTTGAGTATGTTTATACAACATACTTTATAAAACTTGCAGTCTCTCCTTTTGATCCTGCAGGTAATCACATTTACCTAATGGTATCTACTATTAAACAAATGTCCTACCTATTAGACATCTTTAAACTTAATATGAAATTTTTAGTTATATTAAAATTTGTGTACAACAAAATTATTGAATTATTGTTTACATGTGAACTCAGACTCTCCTACTATCTAGCTTTGAAATGAATCATGAAGATTCAGCACCCTGGGTCACATGACCATGCACAATAAAGTTACTTCCTGTCCTGATCATCACATGTACCATTTTCTAGTGGACTTATGGAAGGGACCTTAGTGAATGGATTTACCTTTATTCGGAACGCCCCTATAAATGGGTTCCCCTTCTTGAAGTGCCCTTTATTCCCCCTATATTACGCTGCTGTCACTTTAAGACCTACTGCCTTTTAACTTATGGATGGCGCTTTGGATTTGGTGAACTCAAAATGACTGAAACAAATGATTTCAAATAATAGTGTTGCACTACAAATATACCTGTCAGTTTGACTGAATGAGATGTAAATTTTTTAGTCATTACTCAGATTTTATCAGTCAGGAAAATAATGACATTAGTATCACATAAATATCATTGGATATTTTTTTCTGTCTAATAGCTGTGTTCTGTTTTTCTGTATTAATATGAGTAATGATATGTATTAATATGTCAGGTTGGGAAGATTAAGCAAACCACTAAGCAGAAAATGTATCGATTTAAGAAAAAAGCTCTGAGGCATTTAAACTCTTGACATCCAGCAACTGCAACCATGAAAGCTTGTGGAGGCTTGTTACCAGTGCAAGATAATGCAAATGCCAAATTAAAATGAAATGCCTTCAGGATAAATAACCAGCAGGCACATATGCTTAATTAATCAAGAGAAGTAGAGATTGTGATCATGATTAAAATACAATTCATCATGCAGTTCTTTCGGAACAGAACCAGGGGCCTCATTTATAAAATGTTGCGCAGGAACCATCCTAAATTTGATCTTACGATTATCTCTTAAATATGCGTATGTGTGATTCATAGAATGAACGTACGCACAGAAAACGCACGTATGCCGCTATTTCAGATAAGTGGGGAAGTCGTGGCCTAATGGTTAGAGAGTCGGACTCGTAACCCAAAGGTTGCGGGTTCGAGTCTCGTACCGGCAGGGATTGTAGGTGGGGGGAGTGAATGTACAGCGCTCTCTCCCACCTTCAATACCACGACTGAGGTGCCCTTCAATAGTCACCATGTGGTGTGATTTCTTCGTTTTTTGTAAAAGACATCATTTACAATTGAGAAAAGCTCACAGTATTACACTCATGGACCCATGGGAGAATGGGCAAGCCCTAATGTTCATGCAGGTGAGAATCAAGGCACCCCGCAGGGAGACTAAAGGTAACACTATGTACACAAGGATCTCATAAAGCCTTCTGTGTTTCTTTGAACTTTCACTCTTTATTTTTTTCTATACAGAACCATCTTGTTTGCTCAAGCCAAATTCCAACAAGTTTCAAATTCATCTAAACACTCTATACTTACACTCTATACACTCTAACATACTACAGGGTAAAGCAGCTCATCTTTGTTTAAAATATCTAGGGCATGATAAAGTATGGCTTTCAAGTAGGGCAAGCAAGAGCTATAAAATCAAATACCTGAATGTGCAGAGAAATTAGTCAGGGAACTTATGGAAATGAAGTGATGCATAGAAAGTCGATTCATTTCCTTACCTGTATGGCTCCCAGGTTTTCAGTTAGCTGCTCTGCATTTGAGGTTCCTAGTAGTACCGAGCTCACTCCCTCGTTCCGCAGACACCAGGCTGGAAAGAAAAAGTGACAAAAGAAGTCTTTAAAACAATCTTCTCAGCAGATTACAATTTGTGGAGATTAGGTGGCAAAATGGAACTAAAAGTAAGTCTGAATTGTGGTATTATGGCTGTGTTTGGTTGGGCAGCATTAGCAGTAGCCTCTGCTGGGAGATACTGTGACTACACTATTATGTGGTCAAAAATCATACTTCGGTAACACTTTCTATGAAGCCCGTATTTATAATACATTATAAGGGTATTCTTAAGGCATTATAATGAATGCATAATGCATTATAAAAAAAACTTATACTATGTTATATCAACTCATGAATAATCATAACAACAGTTATAATACATCACAATACGTATTTGTGGTTATAAGTTTAAGAGTATGATTATTTATAACACACAATGAACACCATATTAAATCTACTTCATAATTTGATGTGTCCTGGCTGAATAAAATCAATCAATCAATCAATCAATCAATCAATTACTGACCCCAAACTTTTGAACTGTACTGTATATACAATTTAATTATATTATAGGAGATTTTACCAGTGACAGTTTTTTGAGGGCTCTTAAAAAGCATGCAATAAACATGTTTTACCTATTGCCATCAGGAATGCTCACAAGAAATACCAACAAATATATATATATTTTACCGTTTTCATACTTTCCAGTGATGATCCCACAGGCCAAAGGAGACCATGTCATGGCGCCCACACCTACAATCCCCAAAAGAATCAAGGTAATATTTATGACCAAGATAAGCAGCTGCTGTATGCTCTCGCTGATGAATTCTCTAAATTTGACAGTATCATATTCACTGAGATTGAGTGAGTAAATGATGATTGATTGACACCTGCCTATCTTATGGTAGAGCTCAGGCAGCTGCACCTCGACCTTCTCCCTCTGGAAGAGATGATACTCTGCCTGCTCACACACTGGAGGAATCAGGTTAAACTGCCTCGCTACAGAATATGCTTCCTAGAAAGAGAAAATAATATTTACATTACACTTTCATATCAAAATATATGCAGTATGTACAGTATATTTGTAATAGCTAGAATTTCAACATATGACCTGCACATTCTTTCATAATTTGTCCAATGGACCATCAGATATTGCAGATATTACACTTGCTGGTTTAGTTTCAAATATTTACAGAAATGCTAGTTTTCTCAGCGGTTTCAAATACTTATTTGTAGCGTCTGCGTAGAATCATGCATGATCTTTGGGGTTTTATGGCTTAAGAGCTATCCTTCAATCTGAAGGTCACGTTTTTATAAAAAAATACAATAGTAATTTATAGTAAATACTAGTGTTTTTGAACCATACTGTAGTAAAATTTATTATACTGTATATATTATAGTATGTACAACAAATTGTTAATGAATGCTACAGCATACTGTAACTGATAAACTGTAATAAATACTGTAGTATACTTTAGGTTTACTACAGTAAATTGTAGTTTATTGTAGTATAATATACGTTGTAGAAAACTTATTCTAAACGTATTGGGTAAAGTAATTTGTTTATATTACTATAGTTGTTATATTACCACAGCAACTATAGAATTACCACAACAAATTAATTCAAGTACTTTACTATAGTATGGTTCAAAAACACTATAGCATTTACCATAAATGACTATAGTATTTTTTCATGTGGGTGATAGGTAGAAAGTGAACAATAAAACCACATTCAGGCAAGACTGAAAGGTTAAAATGTGTTCTCATATACAGTAGGCTACTGTTCAAAAATTTTGGTCTGTAAGATGCTTTTGAAAGAAAGCTGCATTTATTTGTACAGTAAAACAGTAATATTGTGAAATATTAGTTCAATTTAAAACTAGATGAGTAAACTTTGTGAACAAACTTAGAAGTTGGCTTGAGAAAGCCTAGCCTGAAAGTTTGAAGCAGTTGTAAAAGCTTGAAGTTTGAAAGTTTAGATAGATTAGACAGATGATTTAGCACATTGCTAGCATGATTTAACATGTTGCTATCATGTATTAGCATGATTAGCATGTTGTTAGCATGTTGCTAACCTGTTTCTACCATGATTAGTATATTGAGAGCATGTTGCTGGCATGTTTAGCACATTGATAACATGTTTTAGTATGCTGCTTAGTATGCATTATTTTGTCAAGTTGTCCTAGGATAGTCATTAAGCTTTGCTAGTGATAGACAGCAGCACACATTATAACTCTTATTGTACAAAAGTAATGAAAGTCTATGGGATGTAGGATATCAGACCGAATCAGACAATCTAAGATTTGGTCAAAACATGGTTGAAACATGAGGAGCCAAATTCCACAGAGGCCCAAGACACAGGATGTCGTAAATCAGATCCTGGCGCCACAAGCCTGAACCAACGAGCAGCGTTGAGTAGCTCACAGCATTTAAACAAAAGAACACTTATTGACAATTCCAAGGAGATTGTCAATTTTGGAGCAAGTAATTAAGATTAATGGTCAAAAGAGATGCACGGCGTGACCATCACATGGTAACCAGTGATAGCAATCACAAGCTCTTTGGATTGACTTCCCCCACCTCGACGACAGAGAACAGACTGAAATTCCTTATGA